TCATGTGAATATTTTATCAGTGATTTTTCTGTTTTCTTACAGGTCATTGATAAAAATGTTACATAGCACAGGGACGAAACAACTCATCCCTACAGGCCCCCACTAAAAACACACCCAATTCAATGATGATTCCCCATTTACAATTACACTTCAAGATCTATCGGTTAGCCAATTTTTATTCCATTTAATGTGCGCCATGTTAATTTTATCTTTTTCTAGGTTTTTAATCAAAATGTCATGCAGTACCAAGTCAAATGTCTTAAGGAAGTCTAAATATATTACATCAATGCTATTACCTTTATCAACCAACTTGTAATCTCATCAAAAGAGATGTGTTAGTTTGACAGGATTCATTTTCTGATAAACCCATGTTGATTGGCATTAATTATATTACCCTTCTTTAATTCTTTATCAGTTGAATCCTGTATCAGTTGCTCCTGCTCCTGTTTGGGAGGTGATCTTTGTTGAAAGCAGTGCTGGGGTCCTCATAGTCTGGGGCCCAAAAGTACAGATCACAGGAGCCCCAGTATGGCCAGTGGGCGGGATCATAACCATGAGGCGGCAAGGAGGGGGGTACCATTGGTCTCTAGCCCAACAATGTGGGTCATGAGGACTTGGAGGCATCCGGGAGGCTTTGGAAGTCCTCTCTGGGATCAAGTCCTGTTTCTGAACCATTGGAGTAGGGGTTGTTTGGCTCTATTGGTGGAACTGATGGTACAATGTGTCTTAAGACCGTATGGACAGAGGCAGGAATGGGCGAATAGGGTACCGATGGTGTTGGAGCACTTATGGCATGACTGGTGCTCAGGATTGGCAAATGATGTGCTGATGGTGCAAGGATAGAATTGTGTCAGAAAAATTGGTGATCGGAGATATGTGTAAATCGCCAGATCCTTGAAAAGGGTATATCAAGGTCTAATGGGAGGAGAGCTGGCAGGAGCCTTGGGTATGGATGGATCCATCAGTGTGAGTTTGGATGCAGCAGTATTTGTACTGTGCAGTACCATCAATGCAGACAGTGAAAGTTCCCTTGTGTGATGCAGGGGTCAGTCCTGCCCTGTCAGAGATGGCTTCGGAATGATGGTAGCTCCCAGTTCTGTTGATGCCGATCCCATGCTGCCTGTGAGCTCCGGGTTGAACCCACCTTGTGGCACAGAGTCTCACTTGGTGGTAAGAGACGAGGAGAAGCAGGCTTTTTCTTAGAGGACGTATGGAGTGGTTTGTCCTTCTTTTAATGAGGGTGTTCATCTTTACCCTCCTCATGCCTCCATTTAGTGGAGTCCTTGACTCTGCTGGAGGATTCCTAGCTAGAGAGCGCTGGTGCTGGCAGGACACTACCAGGAGGCTCATGTCGGTGAGATGGGGATCAGGAGGGGGCAGGATCAGATTGGGGCTTCAAGGACATCTCCATTAAATATCTGCACTCTTGAGACTGCCTAGTACAAGGGGAAATGAGCAACAGATATCACTTTTTGAAGGAACGTGCGATTCCCCAAGGCAAAACAGGCAGCTCTAGCAATGGTCACTAGTCAGAAAGAACCAGGGACAGGACAGACAGGGCTTGAAGCTTGAAACCTTGGGCATACCAAATGGTGGGAGAACAAAGGGAGGGAACCCCCCAAATCCCAAACTATCTAACTAGACTTAACTAAGCTACCTATCTAAGAAAAACAATTTACAAAACTATTTTCAGAGCCAAAGTTTGAGCAGTAACATTGGAAAGGCTATGCACAGAGAAGGGTTCTGTCCTGGACTGGGAGTGGTGGAAAGGAACTGGAAAAGCCATCGGTCCATGCCACCCCTTCTGAGTCCCTCAAGGAAGAAACTAGCCTGGGGCCCAATGGTGGGCTCCCCAGAAATTCTACCCCAACCTACTACATGGGATTCACATGGGCCAGATAGTTCTGTTTCCCCACTGGATGTATTGGCTCGATATATGAGTAGGCATCCTGAAAGGGAAGGTCTGTTACAGAGGGGCAGCATGACCAGAAGGCTGGGCCCAAAAGCCTCTTACAGAAGTAGTTCTCAACCAGGGGTCCGGGGACCCCTGGAGGGGCCACGAGCAGGTTTTAGGGGAGGCGCCAAGTGACTTTACAGAGTTATATGGTGGCAAAGATGGACATCAGGGTACTATGTCCAGGACAGTCCAAGTGTGTGTCCGGACAGGTTTCCAGACCCTCCCTGTATTCAAAGTCAGCCCCACCATTTTGGGGCCATCTCAAGAGAGTGTCAATGTGTCTGACGCTGTCCTGACCGGGGTATCCAACAGTGCCACAATGGAGCCAAAGCACCAAGCCTCCCAGAGACAACTGTCCCAGGGCTTTGCGGGAGGCTCACAGGCTCCTGCTCTTCATCCCCACCCCTGTAAAGAGCAGGAACAAAAGACAGGCTGCTGATTTTGCTTCCCCAGCAGCAGCAACCCTGGGATGGTCACAAGCTGCTTCCTTCCTCTTGCTCTCTCTTGGCGGGGGGGAGAGAGAAGGAAGGAATCACAGCCAGGAGGCCCCAGGGCAAGAACCTGCAAAGCCCCTGCTATTGCTCCATCCCCGGGATCCCTTGCCAGCAGCAGCCCTGCCTGAAAAGGCAGGGAGAGGGACAGCCCCGGGGTGGGGCGGAGGACGCTTTCCCCCCAGCCCAGCTGACGCCCCCAGGCTCCCTCACGCACTTGCCTTGAGCTGGGACTTGGAGACCTTGCCACTCCGGTCCAGGTCCAGGGCGGTGAAGGCGTGCCAGATGGTCTTGAGCAGCTCCTCTTTCAGCCCCCCCATGGCCAGCCTGCCCCTAGGCCGCTGCGCCCCAGCCGCAGGCTCCACTAGTTCCAGCAGCGCTGCACTCCAGCTGCCCTGTCCCCTGCTGCAGCTCGCATCACCCCACCCCTCTCCGCCGCCGGCAGCCAACCAGGTGCGGGGCAGGTCTGCGCCCTCCGAGGCAGTAGGAAGTGACTGAACCCTGGGCAGCCGCGGGCTGAGGATCATGCGCGCCCCTCTCCACCTCTCACTGACCCCTCGCGTAAAGTAGCCCTGAGTTGGGCCAGCCCCTGCTCCCAGCACCCCTCCCCCGGCAGCGGGCTGGAACCGGCCCCCGAAAGGCGAAATCCCCCTTGGCCCTCCTCAACCTGCCCTCCGACCCCGAGCTGCCCTGCAGGGCCGCACGGCAGGCTCAGGCCCCATGCGTGGAGCCCAGGTGGGCAGCTTGGGCCTGTCGGTAATTATCACAGTGAAATGTGAGGCCCCGATCCTGGCAACGCTCCCAGCCGGGGCTGAGCGCAGGGGCACTGTACGGGGAGTGACGTTATCCCGGGGCAGAAGTGGTTGCAGGGTCAGGGCCTTGTTTTCTGTAATGTCTTTCAAATGAAACATGTAGCCCCAAAATGCTTTACAGCAGTGGTTCTCAACCAGGGGGGCCGTGAGCAGGTTTCGGGTGTCCGTCAAGCAGGGCCAGCATCAGACTCATTGGCGCCCCAGGCAGAAAGCCAAAGGCCCACTGCATGGGGCTGAAACCTAAGGCTCTGAGCCCCACAACCTGGGGCTGAAGCCGAAGCCTGAGCAGCTTAGCTTCATGGGGCTCCCTGTGGCATGGGGCCACATGCAATTGCCCTGTTCGCTACCCCCTAATGCCGACCTGGCTTTTATACGGAGAAAATCAGTTGTGGTGACACAGGTGGGCCATGGAGGTTTTATTGCATGTTGGGGGGGCAGGGAGGGAGGGGAATTCAGGAAGAAAAAGGTTGAGAATCCCTGCGTTACAGAACTTGCTGGCATTGGCTGCATCTGGGCTGTAATGAGGGAGGAGGGGATGCCTGCCTCGGAGCCAAGTTCTTTTCCAATCCTGCCTGCCTTCTTGTCTCCTTTGCTGCTGGATGGAGAAGGGGGCTGAGGTAACCTTGTTTGACTTGAGCTGCCTCTTGTCTAGCAGATCAGCTTCTTTAATCTTTCTTGCATTCTCTCCTGCTTGGAGAAGGGGGTAGATGACCCCACCCAGATGGGGCTGAGAGAGAGAAAATGGGTCCTGCCCACAGAACTGGTTGAGCTCCCCAGTGAGACACTTGCTAAGGGGCAGCAGGAGACACAGACCCTTCCTTTTGTCTCTGGCTTTTCTCAACCTAGCTTGCTCCCTGAAGCCTGTAGCAGCCCCAGCTGCTGCAAACGTCTCAGAATGGGAAGCAGAGCTAAGAAGACAATCTCCCTAAAATCAAAAACTGCCCTGGGACACAGCTGGGAATGAAACAGGCACATTACTGAGCTGAAATTTAGACTAAACATTTTAAACAAAAACTGGAATTTCCCTCAGAAAAGCTCTGCAGCAGGATGGGCTGGCTGAGCTGCTGGCCACCTGAGGCAGAAAAAAGGGAGGGAACTTCAGGCGCTGGGGCATTCCCCTGCTGTCAATGACTGACAGGTCTAGTTCTGCCCCAAAGATGCAAGCTGGCTGAAGTATAATTGTAACAGATCTGTGGACCTTAGCATGAAGCAGAAATGAAGTCACAGACTGAAGTTTTATTGAAGAGTTCTGAAACACCACCAACTCTATAACTATTGTATAAGCTTCTTCTGCTTCCAAAACCGATGGAGTGAAAAGTCTACCTGCAAAGAGAAGAGCTGGCTGCCACATACAGGACAGCTGACATTCTCTTTGTAGAAAATGAATGTACTGTCTGCACCAGCTCAGTAAAGCCTTCTTGTGATTTAAGCTCCTTCGTGTACTATGTGAAGCTTGCCTCTAACTCACAGAGCTTCTATTGGAAATCCCTCTGTAAATCACCTTACATGATACACAATACCAGCTACTACTACTTAGCAGGGACAGTGTACGTTCTATCATTCTACCAATAGCTTCACTATTTTCCCTTTCTTTCCTGCAAAAAGGGAAATCTTCTCTCATAAGAGTGAAAGGAAAGTCCCTATTTCTTTTTCAATGCATTATCTATTAATAGCTCTGCAATGATGGCCCAAAGCATCCATTTTCCAAACACTGAATAGACATAGATTTGTTATGCTTACCTGATGCACACAGTCCAGGAACTGTAAGAAAATGGGAGCAAATCCACTACCCTGACAACTGAGGGTCACATTACTACGCTGATTGAACTTATGACCAAAAGAGAGCCATTCTTTTTCCACTAACATTTGGAAGCCTTCAAGTGTCCTGTAGAATGGATCACTGAGTAATTGCACCAGAGACACCACCTAGATCACAAAACAGAGTGCACTGGCATTAATATTAGATATATCATATTTAAAACTGGAGTTCTGTTCAACAAACTGAAATGTTCTAAACTTGTTTTTATATACTGCAAGGCATCAAAAGCATTAAAATATATTTAGGGTTACCATACGTCCGGATTTTCCCGGACATGTCCGGCTTTTGGGGACTCAAATCCCCGTCCGGGGGGAAATCCCCAAAAGCCGAACATGTCCGGGAAAATCCGGGGCCAGGC